GGCCTGGAGCGTCCTCAAAGAGCTCCACGAGAAAGAATATGACTGCAGGATGGGCTGGGCTGTGGGCGATGGTAGTTCGAAGAAGATATTTCGCGACGCGCGGAGAAAGAGCTAGACGAGGCGCGCACACATCTCGCGCGCGTATGTTTTCGCCCACTCGCGCGCCTTATAGACGTAATTCGTATACACACACGGTAGGAGGCGAGGCAGTTTACAGTCTGCCTCCATTTTTACGCCCGTATCCCGGGCGAGCAAGAGGAGCGCGTTACCGCATTCTCTTTCACAGCGAGCGAGCGCGGCGAAAGAGGGATTCGCTCGCTCCCGGCGCGGCGTCGCCGCCGCTGCCGCGCGCGCGAGACGGCGGCGACGTTCCGCTCGGGCGATTCGCGATTCCTCGGCTTCGAGGAAATCCGATTTAGTCGTCGGGCGGACGCGGCGCGGCGGCGGGCGGTGCGAATGAGAGCGCCTAGTTTTATCCGCGCTCTCGTCTGCCGCTCGATACAACCATCTTGCACTCGAAAAAGAGCAAATGCTTTCTCTTTCTCTCCGCGCGCGGGAGGGTAAGAGTACGAGCCAGTTATTGAGTCACGCTCCTTTGCCGACTGTATGAGTTTGAGCTGCTCCTTTTCAGGGCATCTCGGACGGTTATTAGAGAGGTTCCTGCTGAGTTAATAGTTTTTTTTTCTAGCGCTCTCGGACGCCAATATGTATTTTACAGATATCGCACACTTGTTCCAAAAGTGACACAATTGAAAAAAAAAAAACGTGATTTTCGAGTTGTTATATATCATGAATGAGTTAGATAAAACGTTACCTAATTAAAAGTCTCAGAAACTTAATTTTTTTGCCGTTCTTTGTGTTGCTTTGTTTTTATTTTACGAAGATATTATGTAAAGACTTTGCGTCAAATTAAAGGATCACTGACTGATCATAATACATATTTAGATTTGCAATATTTGCTTTTTTTTGTTTAAAGCAAATGTGTACAAAATTATTTAATTATTCAATTTATACACTAATATGCTATACTAATTTAATGTATAACTAATTTTGACATACTGCATGTAATTCCGTATACATACGTATATGTATAGAAGAAAATAAAAATATGCAGTAGTACGAAGTATCTACGTAAAACACGCGGAACGCCGTTTCAATTTATTTAGACAAGGGATCCATACGCTCTACAAGTGGAAACTTTCAGCGTGTCGGTTAAAGGATTAAAATATATTTTAACGAAGGCATTTCTCTGACTCGTAAAGCGATAGAAACAAACAAATTGCCTTAATCAAGAATGAGAAATTTACCGCATTCTATGCTACGCAAACGAGTTGTTTGCTCAAAATTAAACGCAAACTAGATTATTTGCGTGTTGATCCATAATTCACGCTTGCGTAACGTACTTAAATCCGATTCTGTTCGGATCCAATTCGCATGTTGCTTTGTGACTCCTTTTTTTTACTAAATAATTAATATCGAAAATTATATCAGATATTATTAAGAGATCGTGTTGCCATAATTAGCGGGACTGTTTTGTTAAAAAGACAAAATTTGAACAATGCGACCGTACAACTAGTTGCAAGAACGTTTTGGTCCTCTGTAATTCCTCGACTGGCTTTAGAAGCGACCTGAAGTCATTATACGGAATGAAAATGAATAATGAAGTTTCTTCTTGATACCTAATGAATCTAAAATGGAGTTCATTAATGTGTTGGACAAAATTCATTCTACTTGGAAAAAACAAAAAATATAGGTCATTTGTTCACGCAACAGTTAATCGATTCAATAAAAGAATCCCATAAAAAATCTTTTTAAAAAAAGAAAAAATATACGCTAAATACATAAAAAATGTCACTTACGTTTTTTCTAAAACTAAGAACAATTTTTTTTATAATTTAAATATACAATTAT